AAAAAAAAAAGAAAGAAAGAAAGAAAGCAAAACAAAGGAAATTAATATATCATAAATCCTAATTGATCTTCACTCTTCAACCAAACGATAAAATTTAATATCAAACCTACTTCGGAACTCGTATATCAATGCATAATCAATAATCAAATTCAACAGATAGGGCAAAAGTTTAGAAAATAGAAGAAGCAATCCCTACCAATATGTTGATTGTCGATTGAGAAACTCGGTGGCGACGGCGACGTGTGAGGCGGCTGGCTCGCGGTTGTGGTGGCTGGTGAGGCCGTGAGGGCGGAGGTCAGAAGCGTCAGGGTTGGTCGAGCAACTAAACGTTGTGATTTGGGATTTGAATCGTTTGATTTTGTCATTTTGTGAAGTGAAATTCGGTCGGGCAGAAGAAAGAAAGTAAATTTTAAATTTATGTAAATGGATTTATAAGGATTGGGCCAAGCCCAACACAAATTTATAAATATATAACTAATAAATATATATCTATATATGAGGCCCCTATAATGTTGAGGCCCTAGGCAGGTGCCTTACTTGTCTGGCCCTGTAGCCGGCTCTGATTACGACGAACACAATTGAGACATAAGAAATGCTTGCTTGTATTAAGCTTGCACGTGTTTTTGGTGTATGTATGTTTTTTATCGCATGTTTTCCGTAGTTTAATTTACCCTTATGCATGTTATTATGGTTTATCTATCTATATCTATATTATCTTCTATATTTTTTTATTATAAAAGTGTCAATGAATCTGTAAATATGATATTCTTAAATTACCCTTATTTTGTCAACTAATTTTATAATTTAATATTAATTTTGACAAACTAATTTTGTAATTTATTTAATATTAGTAATACAGTAGACTAATCCTAATTTCTAAACACAATGCGCTCCTCCCATCATACCAAATTCTCCTGCCAATTCAAGGGTTTACACCCCAAATCCCCTACATTGCGCGCGGGGACTGAATTCTCCAGCCAATCCAAGGGCAGGACTACACCATCCTCCGTGCCAACACACGCGACCTCCGCCCCGTCGATCGATCGCCAAATCCTTCACGCCACCTCCGTACGCATCCTCACGCGACCTCCGTCGAACGATCAACCCCAAAAAAGTTTGGGTTCTCAAAGCGCATAAATCGAGTATCGTCTTTCTCTAAAAAAATTGGCCAGGGATCGAGGAAGACAAAGGGATTGAAAATTCACCAATCTCCTGGTAAGTGTTTTTCTTGACGCTTGTTCACGGAGATAAATCCCGGAGAACCTTATTATATACTATGTGTTTGTGGTCAAAAGAATATAACTTTGGTAGATATTTATATTAATTGTCCAGAGAATATTTCAGATTAATTGTGCAGAAAATTTAGATTTGTGATTGGTTTTGATTTTTTTTTTTTTTTTGATTTTTTTTTCGAAAGTGAATGGTTTTGATTAAGTTTGTTTACTCATTTAATTTTCTGTAAAAGAAAGTTTGTGTACATATAATTAAAGCTTCGTCCGTCTACCTCTAACTTTAAGATTTCTATGCTGTCATTTTAGTTGATTGATCTGCCGTTGAAATCCGAGTGACATAATACAAGACTGAGGTGGTCTTTTCCATAAAAATTCTATCAACTAATATTCGTTTATGTGTTCATTTTCCGGTTAAAGGCAAAATGCACTATTCTCTTTTCGAACTAATTCTTACAAAGTTCTTGTGATGCACATTAGACAAATAATCAATCTGTAGTGATAGCTAAATAAGTACATTTACATGATCAAACTCATATTTTGGGAGCCTTGCAAAAATGAGGAAAAATAATAATATCTGACAACTTAATAAATCTTCATCCTGAATGTTTTGATGATGTACTCATGTGAGTCGTGGGTTGTGTGTTCGTATGTGACTAAATTTTGTCCTAGCTTCTTCAACTTTTCAGGATGGTGAAAATAAACTTGGTATGTGAAGAATAAGTCTTAATGGTCAGGACTATAGTATTAAGTTGTAATATCCCGAGATATTATCAGTATAAATTACGTTTAATTCCGAAATAGTAAC